CAGAGCTTCCAAATGATTTGAAACCATAGTGGATGAGGAAGAGGTTTTATCCGTAAGATTGGTTGTGTATGAAGCTTATCTGCTTCTAGGTAAAATAGATATCTTAATCCTACTGGTAGTTTCTTTTTTTTTTGGTGCTTATAATGGGATAAAACATGCTACCTCCCTCCTCGGAGAGCTTACTGATAACTGCGCCCAACAGCCTGATCTAATTGTCTTAAGGGAAATAAAAGTAAATCTGTTGTTTTTGTTTCAGGGAGGCGAGGTGTTTACGATGGTACCATAGAGAACATGCACTTGCACTGGAAGCATCGTGAGTTGGTAAAGATAATAGTGAACGAAAATAGTTTTGTGCAAGTCACGCATGTTGCAATTGCTTTGGAGGCTGAGAGCGGTGGGATACTCGTGTCTGTAGACAGAACTACCAAAGGCTATGCAGTTACTATCTATCGTGGGAAGAACTATATGCTGCCTCGCAAGCTGAGGCCCAAAAATTTATTGACCAGAAGGCAGGCATTGGCTCGGTCAATTGAGCTTCAGAGATGTGAGGTAACAATTTTTACTATGTTCTCAATCTAAATATAAATGTAATGATTGTCTAATTCATTTAAGTGATTTCCAGGCACTGAAGCATCATATAGCAGATTTACAGGAAAGGATTGAGTTACTGATGTCCGAACTGGTATGTTATTTTGGTGACATATTTTTGGTGATTCTGTTATATAAGAACAAAATGGCCAGTAGTTGGTACTTGTAACAATTAACCCGAGCATGCTTTGATTCAGGAAGAAACAAAAGCTGGCAATAAGATAGATCTGAAAAAGATTGCATGTGAGGTTTGATGATGCTTGCTTTTCTTCTCAGGACTCTGAAGAGGTAAATGAACAGTTCAAATTTCATGACTTATTTATGGAGTGTGCATTTGCAAGTTTTGATTCGGAAAATCCATAGTGAGGGCTGAGGGGTCTCACATCTACACAGTTGCTACAATGCTGCAGTTCTCAAATCTCTGTTTACACTATGAATCCATTTGTCACCGGTACCCATTAAGTACGAAGTAAAAAATTTTTTGTTTGGATCAGGATGAAGGCGAGGAGGCATATCCTGAGACATGATAGCAGCAATTGAAGATGGTTATGACTAAAAGGAGCCAATGCTAGATAGAGCACCAGTTTACTTAGAAGGAGCTAATGCTAGACAGAGCACCAGTTTACTTAGAAGGAGCTAATGCTAGACAGAGCACCAGTTTCATAAACTGATTGACTTATAAGTGGATTATAAGCATCGATCAACGGTAACTACCAGGGGCCCCAAAAGTAGAAAAACAAGGAGAAAGTGTACAACCTGTGGAGTTGTTAGGCAGTTTTCCTGAGCTGAATAACATAAAATTGGATATCAGTTCTTGTTGCATTAGTGCTAATGAAAATTCATCAGCTACAGAATCATATGTTGTCTGTGTATTGTGGGTAATTATGGCGTTCATATTATAGATAATTCCTTTTGCTTTATGTAGAGAGTCCTGCGAGAATGTGGCCCAAATGTGGTCTATTTTTCTCCTTTTCCCTTTTTGTTTCTCTTCACTACGAGTGTATTAAAGTCCATCAGTTCATGCCTTATCACTATTGCCATACTAATTGAATAACATTCTGCCCTTTTCTTTTGTAAATACTTGTAGAGATGGCTACATGGAGGGTTTGTTTGGCCTTAAATCCACCGTATTTGTAAAATTGTAAATTTATATATGATATCTGGTTAAAATAGAAAATCCTATATCAGCTATCTGTCTACTGATAAACTCTTGAATCTGACACATATTCTATTTATTTATATATTTTAATTTTACAAAATATTATAAAATATTTAAATAAATTAGGTATGAAAACATGGAGAATTCAAGATGAATTTTGCCAAATTGAAATTTGCCTTCGGTACATAATACATTTTTGTAAAATTGTCGTTAACTTGGAAAAAGTTTATGAAAAAATAGTTCTACTGTATTGCGATCTTGGATGACGTTAGTTTCACCATATTTTAAAGAAACAAGAGGTTCATGGGGAGAAATTTGCCTGTAGGACGGCTCCATCTCAGGTTCAAATTTCTTCAAGCTAGGACAAGTTCTTTTCCCCCTAAGGCGGACTCAAATTTTTTCATATTGTGGAAGAAGTGTGATGCAGAACCCCAGAATTAAAGATTACATCCAAAACCTTACATCTATATTTAGTATAGATAATTTAAAACCCTAAACAAATCCTCCCTACCAAACTTACAACTAACTTGTAATTGAGAACTTGGGTGATTGGGATGAAAGAAGCAAGAATGAATAAATCTCACAAGATAATTTGATAAATTTATTTAATTC